GGTATCAATACTTCATTAATAATAGGCTACTTAGTAAAAAGATGCCATTAAAAACATATTTAAAATATACTATCGTTACGTTGTTTCTACATTAATTTGGAGGTTCATTGTGAAATTATGACAATATAAAAATGTGATTAATCATGATTAACTACAGAAAAATGTGTGATTAATAATTTTTTTTAATCGATTGAAAGATAGCACTAATGTTAACCTTTTATAGATTTTAGATATCAATTTAATTTCTAATTTTATAGGTCCCCCTAGAAAGAGATCAGGATGGCCCCCACCCCCTTGGCCCCCTTCAAATTTTCAATTCGATAATCCAGCCCTCAAATTAAGCTAATTGAATAGCCCTGCTCTAATCCGTTAACATGGGTGCGGAAAAAATATGCACCACATACGCACTGCAAACTGAGTATGTGTGAAACAGGCATAACACGATGACCTGCTCTGTTTGCCGAAAACATGCAAAGGACAAGAATCTCAACGTTTTTTTAGGGACAAAAAAAAGATAAATCAATAAATGTTTTTTTTTTCTTGTAAGTAAAGGAAAGGACAAATTAAAAACATTTTAAATATGTTTAGGCTAGTCACTGTAGTAGTAATGACTGCCTGTTTTTGCAAAAAGAGTTTCATGGCCGGTAAAAAAAAAAATTTTGGCCGGTAAATGTTATCACGGCACCGGCCATTGGCAGGTGTGGCAAAAAGTTAGTTTTAGGCCCTGCTTGCATACGTTTCTAATGTTGCTACAAGCAATTAGTTTACCCAAAGTTGCATTAGATAAGTCGTGAGTATGTTAATGTCAACAAACTTATAAGAAACATGATAAAGAACATTACTAATGGGAGCAAAATGTACCACAATAATATAGCCACATAATTATTCAGTAATAATAAGAGTTATTACTGATTTATTACTGATAATATAATAATACAGAGGGAAATAATCTAGATCGGGGTCTTCAAAGGTTGTCAGGCCTTAGACCTTGGTGGACAGATATGGAGCAGGGAGCCCCTGTTACATAATGTATCAAATTAAATGTTCAAATTAAGTGTATAGTGCCATTTTAATGTGTTAACACTTTTTTGTTATTGTAAAGCCATTAAAATAATCGTTATTGATGTACAGAGTCATACACTTACATATTATTTCTTAATTTTGCTCACACTGGATTGCACTCATTCTGTTTGTGTCTTGTTTCTCCCTACAACACAGGATAAACCAATACCACCAGTATTCTGAAACATCTGTCACACACTCCACTTAAAGAGATGGTTCACACTAAAATGAAAATCACCCCATGATTTACTCACTCTCAAGCCATCCTAGGTGTATATGACTTTCTTCTTTCAGACGAATACAATCGGAGTTATAATAAAAATGTCCTGGCTCTTCCAAGCTTTATAATGGCAGTGAAAGGGGGGTCTAGATTTTGAAGACCAAAAAAGTGTGTCCATTCATCATAAAAAGAACTCCACACGGCTCCGGGGTCACAAATAATAAGTACAAAACGAGGACTTGTAAAGAAAAATGTTGGAGGATTTCCATACAAGCCAAAAGGAGAATGGTTTTCTTTTGCTGTAAACAAAACTTGATCCTCGCGAGACTAGCATATTTCCACCGGAGCTTATGCTAAGTCTACGTCCTATGTCATCCATTGGATGCCACTCTCTCGTGAGCGCTCGTACAACAGTTAGCGGAAGCTAGAGATTATGGTTTATAAAGTTTTAAATATGGATATTTTTCTTACACAAACACATTGCTTCGCGTCAGAAGGCCTTTTTCGCGTCAGAAGGCTCCACAGTGCAATGTGGAGCACTTTTTATGTTGGATGGACACACTTTTTTGGGCTTCAAAATCTCAACTTCCATTCACTGTCGTTATAAAGCTTGGGAGCCAGGACATTTTTTTAATATAACTCCAATTAGGGCTGCACGATAAATCGCATGCGATATTTAACGCGCATCTTGTCACTTCTGTAATCAGCGGTAAATCTCCATCACCTGCGGGCTTTCACATTGAGCACCTTTAACTACACAGAGCCGTTGTTCACTGACGAGCTGCGCAAAAAATCACGCGAATATGAACGTGGTTTTGCGCAGCTCGTCAGTGAACAACGGCTCTGTGTAGTTAATGCTGCTCAATGTGAAAGCACGCACGTGATGGAGATTTACCGCTGATTACAGAACCGGCTTTCTGACAAGATGCGCGTTAAATATTGCATGCGATTTATCGTGCAGCCCTAACTCCAATTGTATTCGTCTGAAAGAAGTAAGACATATACTAGGATGGTTTGAGGCTGAGTAAATCATGCGGTAATTTTAATTTTGGGGTGAACTATCCCTTTAAGGATGCCTCTAACCGCCTGAACCGACCACCATCACTATTCTGTGCTGGTTCTAGCAAACACTGAGCCATTTTCTTTAGTTAGCATCAAAAGGTAGTTTAGAATGCAGGCCAAGGTTGGTGTGCAAGATCTGCTACAGTCCTCAAAACCAAACAAAAGCTCTTTAGGTGGGCGTCTTGCCCCAGAGAGACTGCATTCAATGCTCAGTGACTAAGTAGGGCACTGATGAGACATCCAATGTTCTGGAAACACAAAATGTGTTTAACGCAAAGACAGCCAGAGAGAAAGCTTGCCGGTGCCAAAACTTGAGTGTTGAGCAGGCGTGGGGCAATTAACAGACAGACCGGAGGAGTCAAGGAGAGAAGCCTTCATTCTGAAACACTGCCCTAGGATGCTGCAGTGCTCTAAAATAGACCCCTGGATACAAAAACTTTGCTCTAATGGGAAGTATGAATCTTACACTTATGATACCTTGTTTCTTGACATTCAGATCATAATATCACATGAGCAAACCAGCAATTTACATACTATAAGTAAAAGAAAATAAACAACAGATTTCATTAACTACATGAACAATAAAGTAATTCAATCGAACACTCAACTTATTAGAGGACAGTGATGTGTTAATATCAACAAACTGCCACAAAAGGGACAACCATCCACATATAAACTGCTATAGTATAGGCTACAGTATATTGGTTTGAACCACATTCAAGACTAGAAGCTAGAAGAACTAATTTATTGTTTTGTCTATGTATTAGGCTCTAGAGGTGAAATAAAAACAATCACTGACTCCTCATGAGGGTGTGTTGTAACATGACTTACTGTAAGATCAGGACAAAGAATTAAAATTGATGTTGACATGATTCATTAAATCAGAATTTGTAATGTATTGTAATGTATATCAATCTTATCTTTTGCTTTGCTTCCATCAAGTTCAATAAAACAAGAAGAACAAGAAGATTTAGTTGAGATATTCAGTAGGAATTCTTCACATTTTTTGCACAATAAAATCCATGCCGATAGTTTTAAAATCATGTTTGCTTCAGTCTAATCTGATCAAATTTCAAATGAGACCCACATAAGTATTATTCAGACTCGTTATCTGATTTAATGTAACTTTAAACAATCCATTCTTTTTTCAAACAGGTGGTTCTATGTAAGGCCATGGGGAGCCACAGTCAGGGAAACACCATTGCATGCCTTCAATAGACTATTTAAACAATTTAATATAAAGTGTTTCACATATATAGTATCTGAACATGGCAACTCGACTTCATCACTAGCAAGCACTGGTTGAAGCATGGAGAAAAGCGAGATTGTGATATTAATGTGACACTCCTGCTGTCACTCAGGGCGTGTGTCCGTGGCCCATTACAGAGTCCCTTCTTGGATGCACCTGGTACTGCAGAGACAGCTGACACAAATCACAGCAACAGCTGACTGCAACAACCCAACCAGTAGATTGCCAAAGTGGTGCATAAAGAAGCAAAATGAGCTCAAAATTCACCCCATGATGGTGAAACATGCCGTTAGTGAAATGTAGGGTAGGCCTAATAGTGTATTAACGTGAATGAATGCAGTGGGCTGGTGATGTATGACATCACTGACATGGCAGCAACGTTAAAAATCCATAGCTGCCTGAGTCAAGCTTTATGACGTCACCTCACTGTGAACTCAAACATCACGCTTATAAACAATGACGTATGACATCAGGTTTTAAGAAAAAAGCTGCTGAACTGTGTACTGACTTGTTTCATGACTATACTCGCGCACATTGAAATGCAAAGTCATATTCCAAATAAATGATTTCATATAAAAGCATTCAAAGTGATTGACCTATACATCTGATTCACAGTAACCATCATCAGCATTTCAGAGGGGGGAAACAATATGTTCGGATCTATGGTCCGATCAGTTCGGGCACGCATCATTGACGTGAACCGGGATCTGGATCAGCGGGTTCATCACCACGAAAACACCGAACCGCGCGCCCCTCTCTTCTTGGAGACACTTACCGGATTTAAAAAACGCCGCTATGTCGGCCGCCTCCTTAGATGTGTCCTCTCCCTCCCCTGAACTCATCCTCGGATCAATGATTCTCCCGCAACAAAACTCCCCAAACAAACGGATCAGTGTCGATTTTCCGATATCAAGTGACTGGTCGGGAATAAATCCTCTTCATTTGAAAGCAAAGAGTGGCGTGCGGGGACTCGTTCCTGTACTCACTGAGCACGGACCCTCCATCTTGGCTTTAGCTCGCTTGAGAGGTGTCGGTACCGATCGGCGGCGCTCCTGAGTTTCAGCTGGTAGAGAGGAGGAGAAGGATGAAGGGAGGGAGAGGGGAGGTCTTCTTCAAGAAGGGGGTCTCCAGGAATCCCCTACTACCCCACACCCCCCCACAGGTCACCTCAGCTGTATCAGAAGCTGTAGCCCAATTTTACAAAACGCCAAGAAGCACTTTAGGGTGCTTTTTTCCCCATAATTTTTTTTTAAAGGTTTATACCTTTCTTTATTTACAATGTTTGATTTAATAACAATATCAAGTAATATTAGTGCAGGTTGAATAGCCTACGTGTGAGTGAACCTATATTTAAAAAAAAAAAAAAGGTAATAAACATTTTTACAGATATTAATTGTGTAACAATGTATACGTTTTGCTAAGTAATTTTCATTTAAAAAAGGTAAATATATTTTTAAAATCGTGAACTTGGCAGTCGTGAATCTCTATTTCTTGTCACGTCATAACAAAATGGGTTAGGTTACAACATACTGATCAACTAAATAATATATTTGATTGCAAATTTGCTTCACCGCAATTGATTGAATCAAATCAAATTCAACAGTCACAACAAATACATTTGTATTATTTCAGTTCTGAGACGGAGCATAAATGCATTTATAAATTATGGCTACACATTCGCTGCTATATTTCTGATATAGGCCTATTCACTACGTTTAATAAAATCACACGATTACCAAATTGTTCTTTTAATTATTAGTAAAAAAAAAATAAAAAAATAAAAAAACAGAGAGAGAGATTGTTATATACTGCATCAATGTTTCAATATTTTCACCCATCTCTTCACTGACCTAATGTTACAATGTAACGTAGGCCTACATTAAATTATGTGAGAACTGATACAATTGGGCCCTCTAGTGAAAGAGCTCAGGAATTACAGTTGTACAGTGGAATTACAATAGCGCCCTCTATGGATTATTAAAAACTGGGGTAGAACACGAACTCGGGACAGACCATTCACAATCACAGCAACCACAAAACTATCAGTAGTTAATGGTACATTTCTAAAACAGGACTTATTTAAACTCTAAATCGGATGACCTGCGTTTGAGTAATATAAATCTGCTGCCTTTAGATGATTCGCCCCCCACATTCCTGAACATAACATTGTTAACAACAGTTCATAGTCGTTTAAATAGCAAAAAGGCTGTATGGGATCGGTTTGGGGGAAGTGAGACATTCGTTCTCTGGTCTTACTGGACCGGGGTACTTTCATTTTACCCCTAAAACGTTACCCCTGACGTCGACATCTCCATGGCAACTGCCAACAACAATGTATAGTGGAGAAAGTAAAGTGTTGTCTGGGAGGCGCGTTCACAGCATAGGCAGCACTAAAATCCTTCTGCACGCCGAGAAGACAGCGTGGAAAATCGTCGTTTAGCTTTAAAATGAGATTTACAAACCTATAAACTTCTTAAAAGGTCAGTGGAATGATCATGGCTTTGAGTTACCGGTCAGTGAAGTCAAACATCAGATCCAGAGGGTCTCATCAGTCCTCTGCCCCAGTGGACAACATTAAGGAGATGCAGGTCTGCTTGATTTCAGTTAATACGTCATTTCTGCCATTTATCACCTCACACATACACGCGGGTTATTATTTTATGTGTGTGTTTGTGTAATCATCTCAATAATAATAATAATAATAATAATAAAAATAAAAACATGTTGAGGAACAAGTATGTCTTTCTTTCTTTCTTTCTTTCTTTCTTTCTTTCTTTCTTTTCTTTAAACTGTGAGCAGGCCAGACTATTATTTTGAAATGTTTGTGAAAGTATTTGAAACAAAGGTGGCGTTCTGAAATGAGGAGGCCTCAAAATTTCTAATTATTTTCTATTGTTTTTATCAAATGTAAATTCATGTCCCAGTCACATTTTCTTGGTTTAATAAACATTACTTACACTATCAGAAAAAGAAGAAGAAGAAAAAAAAAATTATATTTTATACTTTTACATTGACAGCGTCAATATCCTTTTTTTTAAAGCCATGTTGGCTATAAATCTCATCAAGTTAGTGTGTTTGTGAACTTATGTTCAGCTATTCTTTTTAATAGTTAACTTTTAATTCTATTTGAATTTTTCTGGTCATCAGTCATCAAAGCTCGATAAATATTGGTCACAGACGGAGATTTACTTAAAAATTTCATCAAGCTGATTACTCACTAAAAACTCCCACAGATCATGTTTTCATGCCATTCTAAGTCTTATTTTGACGTAACAAAGTTGTTATATCTAAGTAGCCTATGCGAGTTGTTTGTTTACTTTAAATTATTTTACTTAAAAGTCTTCCCATTAACGCCATTACATTGCTCATTCAGACTGATTCGCGAACGCGTCCAAGAACAAGAGGCGGGATTTATCGCATGAACCAATTAGTCAAACATAACCAGTCATATCCAATCATATCGCGATGGAGACACTGCCTCCTCTCACGTGAAAAACGAGTTATTACACTTTTTCATTTTATATTTTAGTAATATTGGCGTTGTTTTATTTTTCTACTACGAATTTTTTTCTCATCCAATATTGTGAGGAGACACTGCCTCCCTTGCCTCCTCGGAGGAAACGCCCCTGACACGCGTTAGAGCTTCTAAGCCTTACTATAGTCTATTTCTGGGATTTCAATTCGTGATAGCCTATGTTTGTGTTGAAAATACTGCTTAATTAAGTTTGAATGAAAAAGACATGCAGCTGTTTATCTTCAAAATATTTTTTTATGTTGATGTTGTTGTCATTTAAAATAGCAGTTGTTATATTCTTGTGTCCTTTATCTGTTTGTCCGAATGGTGCGTGTCTCTATGTCTAATAAACACACTGTGAGACGGTGAGCTGTGAGCTGCTTCTTTTACTGATTCTCGTGTTTGATTAAGTTGACTTGTGTGTCATACTGATCATCGGTTGATTGCTCAAGCCTGAGCGTTGTATTGTTGTGATGTAAAAATGAACGGTCTCACAGTGTTTATTAGACATAAGACACGCACCATTCGGACAAACAGATAAAGGACACAAGAATATAATAAAGGACACAAGAATATAACAGCAGTAACAGTAAAGTGATCATAGCTCGTTACATCTTTATGATAATAATAGACTAATAATAATAGCAAATGCAAACAAACCAACAAAGCCTTGTTACAGCATTTGGAAGTATCTTTCAGATTCCATTTTTTTTTCTCCAAATGTTGTACAAAACACTAGATGGCGGCAAAACGCTGTAGCAAAATTTCGAATCGCCCGGAAAATAATCTTTACTTGCTATCGTTACTGGGCTGGTGGAAAATGTAGGTAGCCCACTGCTTACAGTTTTTCTGAATTGCTAAAACACATTTCTTGAAACCATCACTCATTTTCTCAAAACCTTAAACACAAATCCAAATACTCAAACAAACTTCACCTGTACTCAAAATCAAACGGTGCTCTCAGATCACACACACATGAGTCAATAAAATAAAGACTGCAGAGCATTTATGAGAAAACAGAGAAAAATGGAGAACACAGCATCCAGAACATTTCAGAAAAAAAGTATATTGTATTGAATCAATTTTGCAATTCTGTAATAAAGTATAGTAATTGCAACTGAATAAGGTGAATATTTTGTATTGGCCTACTGTATGTACTGCAAGAATAGTATTGTGCTGAATATTGAATAGCACTGAATGTTTGCATATATTCAGCACTTGGATACTGAAAAAATACTGCAGTCCAACTGCAAAGGCCAAAAAGATCAAATAACACTCTAAATGAATAGCATGTTACAGTACACTCAAATACTGTAAGTTGTGCAATTGTAAAATCAGGGTCAATGAGAGATTCATTCTGTCTCAGCATCATGTCTTTGTGCTTGAGTCCAGCCTGAGGACATTGTCCACATCACAAGTAATGTTGTATTTTTTGCTTGACAAAGAGAAAAAACCCTCTGGTCTGACAGATCCAGCCTTCATAACACTCTCTAAACCTTACTCTTTCTCTCCTCATCCTCTTCCTCCTCATCCTCCACTTCTTACATATACTCTTGCTCCTCTCCTTCTCAGATTGTTTCCATCTATTGTTCGTATCATCATTCAGTCACCTGTGCCACTTGTGCACTCTGAACTGGCTCATATTTTGTACAGTTGGTTTGATCACATCATTAGAAACAAGTGTGAACAATTTTGAATCGTTGTGTGTAAACGATGACAACTGTGCGTTAGTTGTGTTTAACTTTTGACGCTTGTGTTTAGCATTTTGCAGCACAAATGCATCACAGTGTGATAAGTGTTTAAGTGAATGAGAATGTGTTTAGAGTTTTGCAAAAAAGAGTGCATGAGATTTGCAAATAGAGCCGAACTGCCTGAACGTGTTTAAGGTTTAGCAGAAAGAGTGCTTTATTCGACAAATTGGCTTAAGCTAGTGAGAATTTGGTTCAGAGATTGGGGTTTAGTGTTTTAGCAATTCAGAAAAACTGTAAGACACTAATACAGGGTGTGAATGTGCAAACGTGCAAGTACTGTGTGTAATGTACATGCAATATGATATTCACAAAATAATAGACTACAGTGTACAATATAGGCCTACACATTGTCATTCAACAGAAATTAAGCTGTACAATTGTACATCATGCTATGCAATATAGGCTTTGTGTGTGTGTGTGTGTGTGTGTGTGTGCGCGCGTTTTTGTGACAAATGAGGACATAAATTTGTATAATGACAAGGGTATGACATAGGTATTACAAGGAGAAGGTGACTTTTCAGGACATTACCCCATGTCCCCACTTTTCAAAACGCATATAAATCACACAGAATGGAGTGTATTGAAAATCTGAAATAGCACAAAGTTTCCTCTGAGGGGTAGGTTTAGGGGTAGGGTTGGTGTAGGGCAATAGAATATACGGTCTGTACAGTAGAAAAACCATTACGCCTATGGGATGTCCCCACTTTTCACAAAAACAAATCTGTGTGTGTGTGCGTGTGTGTGTGTGTGTGTGTGTGTGTGTTGTTGTTACGTTCCCGCTCCCCAGTCTAGGGTTGGGAGTGGAAGTAACAGGTTATCTAAAA